TTTCAGTCATACAATTACAATCAAAGATTCTGATACTAAACATATTACATACAACAAAAAGATATTCTTCCTTGAAAGCTAAGCATCTGACTGAAATATTAATACAACAAGTTTTGAGATTATATGGCATTCAATGAACCAATGAGGAAAAACATCCCCCAAAGAAGAGCAGTTACATGAATGGAATAGGGACAGTGGTGAGAAAAGCAGAGAGGATTCAATGATTCACTTGAAAATGAAACGTAGGAGAAATTGCAGCAGTTTAAAGATTGGGTTAACTTGAAGGGAAAGCAGCGTCACCCTCTAGAGATGCAGACGTAAGGCTACTTCTCATAGGCCTACCAAACCGAATGCAAAAAGAAAAATACTAAAGATGGGTGGCTGCAATAGAGAGGGTCGGTGGTGAGTCAGATGGATGTATGTGGTCTTTTTAGTTTTATGTTTTTCTAAAAAGTAAGATTCTTTATTTGAATTATTAGTTAAACTTCATAAACAAAAACTGCTTTTTGATTTAAAAGATGTTCGTAAAAACTATATAACAAACCTTTTTTTACCACATCAACCCATAAAAGTAAGGGTTCAAACAAGGGACGGATCTACCCGTAGTATACTTGATTTAATAAAATTTCGAGTAGGGAGGAAGAGTATATGAATGAATCGATACCACATCCGAAAAAGAGGAATTGACAAAACGGACTCGTGTTGGTCTGTAGGATTAACGAACCGTAAGCAATATGGTTAAGAAACTGTGTGGTTTGGTTGGATTGGCCGTTGGGGATATAGATAGCTTTACGAGGGTGATACCTGACGCTGCCTCCACTCCATCTTTCTTTCTTTTTTTATTTTTTTTTAACCTTTTTGACGTTTGCTGAAAACTTGGCCGGCAATGCAAGTAATCTCTCTCTCATGCTTAAAACTTAAAAAGAAGGCTATTTTATTCACGCTGCTTGTTCTTGTTATGTTACCTAAGATATTTGTTTCTTTTAAGTTGCCAATCAGGAGTATGCAAAGAGAGAAAGGGAGGAATTTGCAAGGCTGGAAAAGTTTTTTATATACTTTTTTTATTAGATTAAAAATGCTAGTGGTGTCCACTCCTTTTTTTTCCTTCTTCACCTTGTGTTGAGTACGGCCTACTTATTTATTTAAATATAATATAAATGGGTGAATATCATGTGATCAAATGATAAAGGATAACAACTTCTTCAAAATTTACTTAATTCTTTATTTAGTTAATTAAAATAAAAAAGGAAACAATTCTAACAGATAAGAAGTTTACTTTTGTGTTAATCCCCCATCTTTAGTGTTAGAACATGAATAAAGGAATAATGATATGGACTCTCAATCCATTCATAGAAATTATAACTGAACATATTATATTTTACCAACGTAAAATTAAGACCTTTTGACTATTAGCGAAAAAGGAAAAAGAGCTAGAAAATCAAATAAAATTTTGCAAAAAAAAAATCATCATTCAAATTTGTAAATATTAGGTAGAGAAAATGAGTTATATAAGGCTTAAATGGCAATGATTGAATGTCTAATTCAATTTATTAAAGTCTACTAGACTAAAATGGAACTAAACTCTTAACCA